CCCTGGCCAATTGCGACTGCAGGAATATGATATTTGCTATTAAGCACGTCTTTGTGTCTCACGCACGGCCACATGAAAATTTTGGCGGGAAAATTGCTAACTCGGGAACAAAAAAGCTAGAGGGCTGAAAATTTAAGAGAATGTTCACTACTCACGCACGACCAAAAAATTTCACATGAGCTTCTTAGAACCGCTTGAGTCTCACGTACGGGAACGTGAAAAATCTGGCGAGAAAGTTGCTAACTCGGAAACGAGAAAATTTAGAAAGCTGAAATTTTAAAGGAATATTTCCAACTTATATGCGACCAAAATATTTCAAATACAGCTGTTCTTGTGGGGTCTCCTTCAAGCACCAGCATCTTTCTGTTTGTCGGGTTACTGAAGCCAACACCGAAAACTAACATACCTCATAGCTGCACAATTAACTTCCTGAAGTTTGAAGGTAAGTATGTCACTAATTCTAGCTACTGAGATTCCAGACGATCTTGCTACGGCACAAAATAGTGCAAAAATGCATAATCGCACCGGTTAGCCTGATGCGTGTCGCCAATGATTAATTAATGCAATAAGGTGAGCGCAGTGTTGCCAATTTAGAGCGGCATGTCACCAGCTGCTGTGCTTCCACAGTTTCTGCTCTGTCCGTTTCTTTCAAGGCCGACCAGCTGTCTGTTTTTCTTTCACGCGAGTACCATTCATTGACATTCATTGGTTGTCCGCAGGACGAGTAACGCTTGTGCCGTGGCTGCGGTGGTATTGCTTCTTGGTATTCATCTAATGAGACTTCTGAATCTCTCTTTAATGCGCCCTTTCTTGACCACTTCAACTACTTAGATGAGGAAACTTCTGTAACTTTAAAAATGATTTTCATCCGCTAGCAAATAGCGAAAATTATCAGCAATAAAACTGCGTAATTAGTACTGCTCTACTATAAGATGTTGTGAATATAAAGTTTAGTAAGTTTAGCCAATAAATTAAAACTGCTTTTTTCTTCTTTTGATGATTAATCGTGCTGCATTCTCTCCGGAGTCGCAAACAGTTAAACCGAAGTGAGAAAGAAAGGTAACGCAGCCAGGACAGGTGGCCGAGGAGGTAAGGAGCTGGAAGACCTGCTTCCAAATT